GAAATTGATATGTTACTGGTCAAAGCTGAGGGTACGGTGGGTTTGAATCTGCTAACCATTAAAATGTTTAGCTTAATCCGCTTGAATCCGGTTTAGATTCGTAGTTTTAGATTTGGACTTACTCTTATCAGTCTCAAGAAAATCTATCGTTATCATAGATGAAATTATTTTGGTCATTGATAAAGCTTATGACCGGTTTCGAAAGCCATCCATCATTAGGGTAGAGCTAACCGGAAATAACGAGATCAAGAAGTAGAGCTTGTTTTGACGTTTCTCCTCTGAAACGTACGTCCATATATGGAACCACTGTAGAACAGCCAAAATCATGACCAGCGCACTGAAGGCGCCACCGATCGAGAGTAAAACCCGTTGATAGGGTTCCATATCTGTAAGTGAACTGACCGGAGATATCACCAAATTTTCCGCAGAATTTCGGTAAATTCCACCCTAAAGACGATGGATTCTTTGAAAAATCCAGGCAAATTCATGAAAACTATTTCTGATGCGTTGGATTCTACTCAAGATTTGCCTATGATCACTGAAATTTCCATGGAATCACTGAAAGCACCGAAAAATTGCCTGCAAAGGCACCCAAACTTCCTAAAAAATTCGGAAGTTTTTGGTTCCTCCTCAAAAATTGAACATTACAAAAATTAAAAACTGCCAACTTACGCGTTATGAAATATCGCGCTGATGGCTGATCGTACATAGCAATGTGAGGTAATACATCTGAGCAATTTGGCATGGCAAAATCGGTCGTATCAAGTATTGAGATCAATTTCTTTAGCCATCTCTCCAGGAACGCTATGAAGGCGTTCATGTTTGGTCTGAAAATTTTTGAAAACTGAATTTTTTTCGAGTAAGTTACTTGGAGTATGTTTCTCGAGTAAGTTAGTAGTAAGTTACTAGTAAGTTACTTGTTATGAATGGCGACACCGAAAAACAATGGCAATAAAGCGTTGTGAAAGCGTTTTTGTATTGGAATTAGCTAAATGGGATGGAATCCATAAGAGTCAGCTGAAGGCAATGTTGTCATAGACAACGAACGATGTGTAAGCACCGAGACGACCAAGATGTTTTTTCGAATTCTCGAGTGGAGGATCGATAAACTACCCGTATGGTTTGTTTAACGTCACTATGAAGCAGACATCCAAAATGTTTGCTTAGCATCCTAATATGAGGCAAACATCCTGAATTTACTGTTACTCCTATTAATTGGATCACGAAAATCCTCTTAATCCTCTTAATCCTCTTAATCTTCCAAGAAGGCCAGTGTCTTATGCATCTGAATCTTACTCGCTTAGCTTTCACCTTCGACATTGTTCGTTTAGCGAAAAAACATCATTGCAACAAGCTAATAGTACTCGTCAAATCCGATTTGAATATGATCGTGGTGATCTGGTGATCAAATACTTATAGTATTTTTGCAGTTAGAAGTATTTCATGGCCATCTTTAAAGTAGCAGGCATCTGATATTTTGAGATGAGTTATAGATCGGTTCATTAAAATCGCTTTATAAAGCAATTCAGAACTAAATTCCCGGATACAAACCAACGCAGGCAGATTCACTCCTAACTAGTAAGTCTATGGAACAATCCAAGAAGGCGTTGAACCAACCACAATATCAGAAACTAGTAAATGCGCAAATAAAACATCCAGCAAGTAAATTTCTTAAACATTCCAAAATCCTCCTGTACAAGTCAACAGCAACATTTGTGAGTGTTCTAGACATTTATATTTCTTCACCACAAAAAAATAACCCACTTGCAGTCATAATAAAACTTCCAGTTGTTTGATTTGAAAACGATCAGCTGAATGGATCAAAAGGTATTGTGCAGTTGTTACGAAAGTAAAACCGTATGACTAGTCTCGTAAACACGATGATTAATGCTTTCGACAAAGCATTCGATCAGATTCAATCAGACGATTGCAATTGAAATTTGTATTGAAAAAATAGGAAAAATAAAGGTGTCGAGTGGAAGCAGATGAATCACACACGTAAAAGTGCTGAAAATGACATACGATGGTGTTGAAGGACGTAAAATTTTTCAATTTCAGTGCATACAACTGACTATATCGATGATACTTTTAACATCATACATTTGGGCATTCGTTTAGTGACGTTAACAATTAATATTACACCGATGATACTTAATTTCTATCATCGATACGAAATGCATTACATAGTTTTGCATAAATAACCATGAAACTGACGAGTGAAATAATTTTATATCCCTTGGCAAAACGTCAATTGATATCCTTTTGATCTAAAATATCTCAAAAAGCGGATAAATTCTTAATAGTTTCGTGAGAAATTAAAATAAACTTCAAAATAGCACTTGAGCAGGTAAAAATACAATGGTTTGATGGCTTGAAGTGCTTCTAAAATGAAGTCTAATGGCTTAGGCGATACCTATTGAGCAGAAGAGCAAATGGTGAAACTGAAGTGATGGAAAACATGATCAATCAAGGCAGGCGTTGTCTTGCCCTGTACTGTTCTGCCGCTCTCGATGATAACTTTTCCTTATCAAGTGATGCTTTCGAGAGTGATAAGCGGTCATAGATTCAGTGTTGTTGAAAAAAATTAAAACATCAAGAGAATAGAGCCACGGAATGAAGAAATAAACGTATCAAATCATATCAAAATCTCCTAAGGCATGAGAGTTGCAGCTCAATTGATACGTTGAATAAACATTGCAAAACCATTTTATCAATGCTGCAAAATCATGATAGCAGCAAAAAGCGAGTAATATACCAACAGAATACAATGAATCTTATTATGCATAATGCGATTATGATCAATTGATTGTGATCAATAACATGATCAATTCATTCAAGTGCAAATGAAAGGCGCAATAGTCACTATACCTATATTGATAATTCTTGACTGTCGATTGCTGCTGTTATTTCAAACAGAATAGTAAAATTTTTAAATTTTTAAATGATTGAAATGAAGTCACAAATATCGATACGATACAACTAACATCGAATGTCTCAAAACTAGCGCAAAGTCAGCTGAATCGAAATTCACTTCGAATGACATTTGTTACTTTTCTCAGAAATTGATCACAAACTCTTCAGTTGTCCCGTTTTTTGCTGTTGACGTTGATCTTAAGACATTTTAACAGTTACAGAGCACTCAATAGCTGGTTTAGTATGTACAAAATTATTCACTCAAGAGAAAGTAAACACTGTGGGTAAATAACTGAAAAAAAGCAACAATAATACTAGTTATAGTAGTAGTTAAAATATCAGATGATATTCCATAGTACAGCATTAGATCTGTATGGAGAAGAGGAATAAATCCGATCATATCGTCGAAAATAACAAGGCAAGCCAGGAGCTCTGAATCGGAAGCGATCGGTAGATTTGCTGAGATTTGCGGGAAATAATCGATTACGCATGGGCTATTGGTCAGATTGCCTTACTGATTAAACAATCAACTTTTCTGATGATCACTATCCTATGCTATCTTGTTGATCAAGTATCGATCAGTCAGATCAACCAATCAATTCGTGCAGTTCTCTTGATAAAAGTTGACAGAGAGGGGATGTCAGCTCAAAAGCAATCGCGTATCTTATCGCTAATCACTTCATTGTGTTTATCTGGCAGAAAACAACGAGAAGACGATCATCACCCATTGGAAAGAAACCAGTTTCGAGAAATTAATGAATAAAGCTAAAATCCAGCGAAACAAAGGGAAAGGAAGTGATTTTTTCCCATTGATTGGGCAATTGAAACTCCCGATTACAGATCATCGAATTGACCGACCGTTGTCTGGTGAATGAAATCGCTGAAAATTCTACGAGCACTAAATCTATTGCGATTCATCGGATATACGTTCAATATCTCCCAAAAACACCGGGTTTTTCGCCTATTATATTTGCTGAATTCAGAAGCCAGAAAATCTATTAAACCTGACGTCAAATCAGAATAATATTGTTGCCATCAACTGTGTGTATTGTGATGAAATGAGTTTATTTCTTTTAAATAAGAAATATGCTCGATGTCGATCAAGAAACCAGAAGAGCTACACCAACATCATTATTACTTTTATTATCAACAAAATCATTGAAAACGGAATGAAGCACTGATCCACTTCACATAAACAATCGATCACTGCATCGATCGATCACTGCATAAACAATCGATCACTGGATCAACGAGCAACGGTGACAAAAATTCAGGATTTATTCAAAATTCAAATTCAACTCATTATCGCCTTTCCCACACAATTGGTCAGTTTATTGGTCATCGTATATAGAGCCCACGGAGGCAACATCTTCTTCGGGGCGTTGAAATATCTTTCACAATTGCGTAATGTATCCTCACAAGACTGCTTACCATTCTTCTCGATACAGGCTTTCATTAATCTCTCTGAAATGGATTTAAAAATCGGATTTTTCGATCCACTTCCAATCGATCATGAAGTAGTGATCAGTCAGATCAATCAGATCATTCGCTAAGAAGTTAATTTGAACGCTACCACTTCATTCACAAATCAAGAAGTAGTAAAGACCACTGAAACCAAATTTTAGCTCCTTTAAATTTATGAAAGTTCTCTCCAAAGCCACTCAGACATCCTATGCTCATCCTCATGGAAGATAGTCAATCCTGATTGGGATTTGAAACATTTGCAGATGAAAACAACCAACGGACTGGCTTTCAACTGGATAGATCAGAAAGTGCTTGCTGAATCTCGGCCAACGTTAAAATCATGATCATACGTTTCATTTTGTTGACTCAATCGAAAATTGAATTAATTTTGAGGTGAATAAAAACGAATTCAGCTGAATATTGTGTGAACTACAGCCACAGTTGGATTGCTTGATAAATAAGTGAAGAGAATTGGCCTTACGTGTTTCGATGCATAACGGCACTTCCGGTGAGAGCTTATACCAGTTACCGGTCTGGTAGACACCCATTGGATTTTGGTAGAGTGAGGTGGCACACCTGGATTCCCATTGATTACAGGTAATTTGGCCGAATTGTGCCGTACAAACTGCGAAAACGCCACCTGAAAATGCAAATTTCTGTTGATTTATACCAATAAATCTGTTCGCATTTCTTTCCTTGAACGCAATTTCTTTCCAGTTTGATCTACCCCAGATCTATTGTTCCATTTGCGATATATTATTAAGGCCAAGCAAGAGCTCAGGTCAAATGGTCCTTTTTCTTGCTGTCCCAGGGACAATTCCGATGCATTTCCAAATTTTTTATAAGGTCAAGCCCCAACTGGGCTTAGTAATTCTAGTTACCTTC